ATTCCACGTTAGTTCGAATGGCAGCGCATAGTGGGGACAATGCATGTCTGGATATAATACAAAAGGACTGACCGGATTGTTGATTTTGTGCTTACGTAAACCTGGTCAGTAGGGCTGTCAATATCATGGACACAGCCATCTGTTGTTTTTTGTTGCAACGGACAATACAAACCCGAGTTGGAATAAACTCTTTTTTCTACGACTTATTCAGTAAGCGTGAAATGAGTGAACCACAAACGGAAAACCCGTTTGGCTGATTGAATGTTATTTCTCACTACGCATTTATAAGCTAGGCAAATAAAATTCGGATCACGATCATGGCGACTGGATGGGTGAACTTTATATGACTGTGAGTTCAAATCCCACAGCAATAGTTTCGCCTCCCTGCACTCTACGGTCCTTGATTGGTAGCATCACTCCCTTATTTATTAAAGTTAATCCTACTATGGTGTAATGAAGTGCAAGAAGGAAAAGTATACGCGGAGGTTTGGAAGTAAATCTACCACAGTTTGGGTATATCATCCGGTCTGTCTGAACACTGGTGTAATTAAAACCATCGCAAGTGCCTTAGTTTCAAACTTCCTAGTGGGATGAAAAACAGTTTATGAAGTCACTCAACCAGCCATTCACCTCCCAACCATCAACCCTTCCTTCTCGTCATACAATCCCAAATCACACAAGTAACAATAGCCAAATTTAAGATCCGAGGAGGGGAAATCAGCCATATCCGGTTTGTGAAATTGAGACAGGAAACAATATGAACAACAAAATCGTCCATTTGAATATTCATTTTGTTTTCTTTTTTTGACAAAATAGTCTTTCTTTCCTTCTTGCTATACAAAATGGAGTTGTATGAAATGTGACGTGATTAACCAGCTGGGGAGTCACCGAGTCACTGACCGTGTGCGCTAAACTGCGTTTTCATTCAGTGTGTACCATTGGTATGTTCCCGGAATTATTCAGGAATGCTCATACACCATTTTACAGCACAAATGATTCTGAACACAAGCAATGAAAATTTCCTTCTATTTCCAGTCCTTTATTAAGCGAGTGAAATTGTCTAATTGATAATCTTTTGATGAATGGATTTTAGATTGGAAGAGTTGGTGAAATTTCTGTAGAACTGTAATGGGAAATTAGACCCTTCTTTGAATAAATAATTAGAATAAGGGCATGTGTGTGATGCACCTTCCGGTTGTTCTTATACAAAACGAGGTTAAGTTCAACAGCTGATGACTGTAAATCCCATTAATTTGGAAATTAAAAAACAACTATAGGAAAATAAGCTGCAAACAAAGAGCCGGGATATCCGATCGCACATCCTCCGGCGGACCGAAACAATGAGTTGATCAGGGGTAGCCGAAAAACAGTTTTCCAAAGCGTAAAACTCATTCCTCATTGGCAACTGGATTTCTAGTTGAAACTTTATTTCGGGAAAAAAAGTAATTCGATTTGAGTCTCATTTAATTTTAAATGGGAAAGAATAATAACTTTTCGGGATAAATTGTTGCCCCTTTTCGAGGCAACCGTGGTGAAGGTACAACTATTTCTAGATTAACAGAAATCAAATAAACACTTTATCAAATAAAATTGAGCGACATTAAAATATTGCACTTTCAAAGACCAAAATGAACACGCCTATCAGGGATTGCTTAAAATAAGTTACAAATGTGAAAGTATGCAGATACCGTTCAAAAAGGTGACTGGAAAATGTGCACACCACACAGAAATAGTATGCAAATAATTATTATTTGGTAGTTTGAGCCATTGAAGGTAGAAACCATAGAAACAGGATAGTTTCATGTAAATAAGTGTGCGGTTCACTAGTAAATGAAGGCTACTCACTTTGCATGCGCTTTAATTTAATTTTGTCCTGCGAAGATGAATTTATTCCGCTCCGTCAGTACGCCATAACAATAAATACATGGTGGTTTATGTATACCTATTTCATCAATTATACCCATTTGCCTAATCCGCAGCGATTCAAACTTCATCGGCTAACCCTGTTGGTACACTTTTCTAACGTGCTTCTCGTTAGCCTCTTTCAACATACTTCTTACAACCCCTCAACCGATTATCCGGCATCGTCCACAAAATCCAACGCAGCGTCATCAACCTATCCATGGACTACCTCTCAGCTCGGTCTTTGTGCGACTGAATGGGAGAATAGACTTCGGGCGCTACCAACCATTGAAATATGTAACTTGTCTTCTTTTTCAAAACACATTTCTGCACAGGAAACTTGGTAATGGTTTTTGTGTGGATGAGCAAGAATACAGAACAGTGATAAACCTTGTGTTGTAATAGCATGATTTTAAAACAGTAATGGTCTCTTGCTCCATAAACATACACCTTTGAAGTTACTTTTAATCAACTTATCAAATAGTCTTGTCTTTTGGCCTCCTGTCGAAAATCCCCGGGGTTCCTTATTTTTATTTTCACAATTCAGACAGCTCGAAATGCGTGAAAATTGTATAAAACGGAATTCAATAACTACAGTTGAGCTAATAGTTTGAGTAGAGCCAAGTTCAGCCGTTAATAACCACAACATTCAGATTCTCTGAAGATATGTCATTAACTGCTTCCCTCTACAATCGGCCATTGTACAACCAATCTTTTCAGGGGATGAGCCTGGATCGATCAGAGAGTTTCCAGGGGGCGCGAAAATACAGTAGTACTATAGGATTCGGAATCCCTTTCCCGTTGATGTTGAATTAATCAGTTCTATTCACTGGTTATTTAGCTGACCACGGATTTTCTTCTCCGAATACAATTAGCAGGAACGCTAAATCAGCAGGGCAGTAATTTGTCTAGCGTGGAAAATTGTTTTCCACTATAACCCAAATTATAAAAGTTTATCTCAGTCACAGATCATATCATTAAACAGAAGAATTCTCTGTACGGGACATCCACAGACACTTTCGTGAGCAACTCAGTGAATGCGCGTTGAGCAGTTGTTCCGGAAGGTAGAGTACACACTGTTGGAATAAATGTCATGGAGATAAATCGAAATATATTGGGTGAGGAATAAGTGTTTCATCGATGACTATAAATCAGTACTTTATTATCCGGGTTGATTCAGGTGCCGTTGTTTCAGTAAAAAATTAAAGGGTGCATAATGAACACATCGAGTCTTTCTTATAGAAAAATTATTATCATATGTTTGCTTCCAAAAGCTTCAGTATAGTTGAGGCGAATGTCATGGGTTTCGGCTAGTCACTGTCCACTTGCATCCGGCAAAATTCTACCAAACGACCAAGCATTTCAAGTAGCTTCTGTATAAGAAGCCCTAGTCACTACCCCTTTGTGGCGGAGGTCTTTCTACACCCAATTGATAGGACGAAAAGCAAAACTGGCGAGGTCAACTACTGGCAGTTAACCAAGTAAATCGGACCAAAAGCTGTGATTCAAAACCAACCAAGAATGGGAGTATGAACCATGTACACACCTTCCTGATGGTGGTAATGCTCATCTGCGTGTTTAAGTATTGAGGCGTATTGGATAACTTGGACGTTTGACTCCGCCCAAATGAACTAGTGACCGGCCCGCAAATAGACTGCGGTTTTACAGACCTCCCCGCCGACCTGTGAGTCAGGCTTTGGTTAACCGAATGCTCCGGTTGGTATATTAGAGTATTGGAGGAAGTGATTCGTTTATGCTATGAATTCGTCGTATCAATGAAGCATGAGCCGAAAAGTTTGGAAGCACTGAACAGCTATTTTGACCTGGTTGGGTTTCGTAAGCAGCGCAAATCAATCGGCCCAACAGGAGATCGAACCCAGGACCTCACATGTGGAAAGCAAGCTTATAACTCCATCGGCAACCGGGCAACTGATCAGACCGTTTCTCATTTGGAATATACAAGAGTGATAGTATACCTGCGGCCTACCTGTGAGGTCCTGGATTCGATCCTCCGTGAGATCGATGAATTCGCCAGTTCGAAACAGCTGTCCACTGCTTCCCATCTTTTCCGCTCACGCCTCATGTACAAGATGAATTCAACATATGAAAAATTCATCTGCTTTGCCTTGGATAACCTAGAGGTATCGTTTAATTGAACAAACTATGATCTCTTTTTCTTTTTATGAAGATTATTTACCATTATCACAAACATTTCCATCTCTTTTGAATGCATACAAACAGTAAGGAATTACCGATCTCCCAAGGAGTGAAACCAACACCGAAGACCATCACGATTGTCTGGTGCCTCTGAAAAATTGAATGAGCTAGTCCAAGCTTGATACTCTTAATAATTTACCGTGGTTTGTTAGTCACAATCTGAACTCGGTCGTGTTTGAAAAAAAAAAAATACATCCTTTCCTCAACCGTCGATATCGTAGATTGTTATGCATAATTAATCAATATGAACGATCTCACACCACTAGTCACAAGTAACTACAAGTTAAATAAGAGTTAACAAGTGAATTAGCCATCCCTGTCGCCCGCTACCAAAATTATCACCCAACGTTCATCTGTTCAAACTAGTGGTTTCAAAGTACCAATTGGAATGCCGGCGTCAGTCATTCGAAGTCAGAGTGCGTTCAATCTGGAGCTCTCTCCCACCCCAAGTCGTCTGTGCACCAAGCATTGAATCTTTCAAACTGAGACTCGACGAAACATCAGCACACCATATATTCCNTGTGTTTTAAGCACAACACGAACCTATGGGAAGAGAATAGCATGAGCTTGTAAGTTATCCCCATAATAAATGTTTGATGTTTGATATTCGATCAGTTCAGCCTATTAGGTTTGTGGCCAGTTAGCCCACGATCTCCGCTGAAGACCTGATCGTTTGAGAGGTTTTTCATTGCAGTTAACAGATAGTAAACTGTGTCTCCTTTCGTAGCCGCTGGGCCACACTGAATTTAACTGACTGACCATCTCTGGAGACAAAACCTAAAGAAAAATTAACTGGTAATTCATTCAACCTTGGCATGATCACCCATATGCATTCCATACGATGTGACTGGAGTTCAAAACCGGGATGAGATTTCGGATATGCACTATTGGTGAGCCCTTAACGGATCGAAACTCAAGTCTAGTACGTCCAAGTGTTTGGATGAATGCAAGAGCTGAGGATTGTGCGNAAGGATGGTCAGTTCTAACCACTCGACACCCCACACCACTACTCACAAGTAACTACGAGTAGAATTTGAATATGAATAATTATTTAGAATAAGCCGGATTTTCATTATACCAAAATTTTATTGCTGTAATTTTGATTGCTCGTTTTGTGGATTCCCACCTTTGTGTGAAGAAATTCTTCGGTATGCTGTTTTCAATCATTGAACTTTCATAAAAACCTATTTCAATAACGGAACTTAGGCAGTTAATACATTGTGCTGGATTGTATACTCATTTAGTTCGGGAATGTGATAAATCCTGAAATGAAATTTTTGAAATCAACATCCTTTGAACAAATTTATTTCAACATAAGGTCCTTGAACCCAAACCACTGAACAATGGCCCTGGGTAACGTGGAGGTTGTGATAAGTGGCAAATTATTTCCTTCGTGAATGATCATGTCACAGTATCTCCGGTATTAGCTAAGTTTGAACTTGTTGTTTTGCCTTGTTTTCCCCTTTCTGGCTTTACTTAGTAGCACACCTGTTTTCCTTGACCTCTCCAGTTCGTCTGCATTTACCTAATTAACTATACATCTTATTTGGGCCCAACATTACTGTTACAGTCCTCCATCTTGTAACTGTAACTAAATTTATTTGTAGTCTGTCTTTTCAAACATGTTTTGTTTTGTCAGAGAAGTCTACGCCTATTTTACATCTTCCTGGAATCAAACACCTCTCGAATTGTGAATGTAGTGAACGGAGCTATCCTCGATTGTGCGATGTTTTCCTTTATCGGAATGTTAATCGTTGCGAATGGAAGCTACACGAATAACACGTGTCAGTGAGAGAGACAAAAACTGAACAAAAACTTGCTGTTCATTCGAAATGGCATCTTTCGTCCGTCTATCAAAATGAAGTTATTGGCGCCTGGATATCGACTACACCAGGTTAGATTCACTTTTTTATTACTTTTGAATCCTTCTTAAAATAATGATTGCTATTTGGAAATTTGGTTGTGAACAGATTGCAACAGAATAAAGTGTAACGCAACTTAACAACTATTTGCAAATTCACCTAAGCACCATGGTTATTGATTGTTATACATATCACTGAGTGAGTAACCGTGGACTGGGTCAAATCCCCATCCAAAAAGATCTACTGTTCACTGTTGGAAACTGGTGACATCACTCTCGAAACGTGTAGTGGCAAATTGCATAACGCTCTACTGGGTTAGGTGTTGGGTTTGGTCGAATGACAGGGAGGCTGGCGATCACCAAAATACGTTTAAATAAATATCTTTGATGGAGGGCTTTGAGGATTTGTACCATCAGATTCTTATACTATGCGATACATAAGTTTCTTCAGTTGGAAATTGAATTTAACAAATTTTGACGCATTATCTGATTTCTGTATGGAATCCAATTGCGGAAGAAGGCAATGATAGGAAGGTTCATAAGTAGGAAATAGTCCGCCTCGTTTAAAATGAGAACATGATCAACTATTGTTTCCCTCTAAATTGTCGTTTAGCTTCTTCGTAAAATTATCTTCACTGGGCAGGTACCTGTAAGTTCAATCCCTTTTTCATGCTGCTGTTTAGCGGTGTATAACCGTATGACGGTAATATAGCCTTTCTTTTCCAAGAGACGTTCCTCAAAGTCAACATCAGTCCTCAGGTCCCGCATGATTTTAGGTATCAGAACGGTGTGCATGGATATTTGAGACGATGCATTCCTTCCCCTATCGCAATCATTCATCACCGGCCTGCGGATGAGCGTTACAATATAGAAAAATGGCAAGCCCTTCGTAAACTTTGACACACAAAGTGCTCCAAAAAAGTGAGATCCGCTTGATCGTCAAACTTAAATGCCCTGCAGTCTTTTCTTCCGTTAGATGAGGGTGTCTAATGATTCAGTCCACAATACTACCATTCAGCGATACATTAGAAATGACATGGGTTGAAAACGTTTCAAGTGTCTTCTTCCAAGTGTCCATCTAAGTGGACAATAAACATAAGGGGTAACGAATTGGGAATAATCCATTTGATTGTTCAGAGGCACCGGGCACTGTGGATGGTCCTGGGTGTGAGTTTCACTTCTTAGGAGATCGGTAATTCCTCACTAGTTGAATGCGCCTATAAGCGATGAAAAGCTCAAGCAGGGGTAAGGGTTTCAAGTCCAAACTGGAAGGTTCGTGGTAGAGTCCTGAAAGGGACACAAAAATTACACACTTCTGACGAGCCTCAAGTAGGAAGAAACAGCTGTTCAGGCCCTTCGTCGGTCATCGTAAATTCTTTCATCGCTTATAAGGTTAAAGAGTTTACTGTCGTTCATTGTTCCACTTCGTACTCATTCGGAACTCAATTAGTATATGTGTGCTGAAAACAAAACACACTCACCGTGATTCAAAGGCATTTTGACCATTGGTAGTCCATTTTGGTGCAAAAGCGACATTTGCATTTGAGTGCCGGGTGCTTTCTCATCATCCGCGAGTAAATTGCCTCCCAATCGGTTCCGTCTATTTTGGCACAAAAAAGTAAGTTATGGTTGCTGATTAATCTTTCGATGTTTTATGGAGACAATTTCAATGACTGTTTCTTACGGAGATAAAGATTGAAACAGCTTATATTGTTGTGAGTACAACGGAAGAGGCGGCAAAAATGCCCAATTGTGCGAACCGTAAAATATTTCTATGATTTAAACTAGTCGTCCGAATTTCCGTTGAGCTTGAGTGGGCCGCCAGAATGGTCCCAATTAATTACACGCAAAAAAGACTCTAAATCATCTTACGGTTGAGAATCTGAAAGAAAAAAACGATTAGTTGAATCTGCTTGGCTCTCCGTCTATGCCTTAAATGATATAATCACAAAAGAGACACTGTAATAACTACTCCTTTCAGCACAATGTAGAGTCGATACTAGCGACAAGCCATTTTTATCCGGATCGCCTCAATCCTTTCAGACCAGCAGCTTAATTTAAACAAACAACTTGATCTAATTTCTAAGAAATGAATAATCGTTAACAAATAATATGAGATTGTTTGAGGATTTCATTCGATTATTTGATGTTATAAATGTTTCTGAAAGAGTTAAAATCTCTGCAATAAATGCTGCGATCAGTGAGATTAGATACTTGGGATAAGCTTACAAATGGGTTCCACTATGAAAATCTTGTGGAATGATTGTAGATTGGGATGCGTATGGTAGTGTTGGTGTGTTCTGTGAGCTGCATGCGTTGTTTGCAGACGTTTCTTAGCCAGGCTAGGCTTATCTTGGGTTATATGTCAGGTAGCGACGAGCGTGTGATCTACTGCTAGTAGCATGCATCAGTTTTACCACTGAGGTATCACATTTGCAATCTACAGTTAAATTGGTGAATTCGAGTTACTGAAGAGATCGATCCAGGTCAAAACAGCTTTACAGTGCCTCTTAGCTGTTGTTTCACTCTTCGTTTAATCCATACGACTAAATTATGCGTGAACTGGAATTAGTACTTCGAATGCTCTCTTGATTTGCATAGGAATGGCCTTTGAACCGACAGTGTCTGCTTGAGTTTAGATAGAGCAGTCATTTTGAATGTAATTTGTGATTGCTGCAGTTCGACATTGATTGTGTAGCAAACGCTTACAGATTGTGTGCATAGTACATTTTCTATCAACGTTTATTGTTGAATATGTAATCTTCAATTTGATTTGTTTTAATGATTCGCCAAAAATTCCGTTTCCTTCTCATTTGCGGTGCAGACAACGTCGCTATTTACTCACAGTGAATTTGGATAACTCTGCAAGTCAGAACCAGGTGTGAGAATGCACCGCGTTTGGCCAATTTCGTCCACATCAACAGTCTCGGGCAGATTGGATTCAGCAGCCATTGCTTCTTCAGTAGCCTGCAAAGAGATCACAGTTTATGGAACTACTGAACGATGATCTGAACAGTTTCTCTCTGCCAATCATTGATCATTATAATTATATTTTTTTTGTCGATGCATGTGTATCATTCACTTAGAACCAACCCATGGAAACCCATAAAAATTCTAGGAATCACTAACGTCGGCTCTGTTCGCCAGTTGTTCGTACATACTTTAATCCAAAAACCCAATGAACTGGAAAAGATCTCTATCAAACAGGCAATCAAAGGATCCATAATCATATTCCAAATAAATACCTCTTCACTTGTTGTATTTGCCATCATACGAACACACACACAGGTCGCTGTGTGATTCAGGTATCCGTTTTTGTTAGTTGGTTGGATTGCTATTATTCGCTAGCCATAATAATTTCCGTGCGAATTACGTGAGGTTTGCAAGGAAAGCTTTTTCACCACTAGGGACTCCGTTCACATGGGACCATCCTATTGTGTATTATCGCCTGGATCTGTATTGTTACACAAGCACGGGGTAGTTGGAAACAAATCTTCTATTCGCATGCAACCCCGTTTTCGTGACTGTACACGCAAGCACGCATTTATGCGCGCATGCATGCTCTCTCTCTCTGTCTGTCTGTATGTCTGTTAACGGTAGATTCATTGCAACTATGGTGGAGGTCGTGCTTTGTTCCTATTACTCGCATCTGAACCATCACATACGATCGCTATAGTGATAAAGCAGACGATAATTTTAACTCAAAACAAATCAAGTCATAGCACAAAAATGGTACAAAAAGCTTCTCCCTGAACGGTGAATTGTTTCTGTGAAACAGAGGATACTGAAAGTGGAACACATTGTCGTTTTCATTACCCTGTGACCCAAATCGTGCTGATCTTCAGGCTGATCAAGACCGACGCTTGTCCGATGAAACCATTTCTAAAGTGATCGCAATTTGGAAACTGCTCATTACATTCAGTAACAAAGCATTTTCAAATATGGCAGGGTAAACGCTAGACTATTGGTCAACCCACATCCAGAACTGCATTGGTAAACAGATCAGGCAGTTTTGCGCATCCCAGTCAGTTCTTTCTACCTTAGTCTATCCGTGTGTTTTCGCCGTTTCATTTTACTGTTACCCCGTTATTTTTCCTGGATTACTCAAACAGGATTTCAAAGTCGTACGCTGCAGTCTAACTATTATTATCAGTGTTTCTTCTGTTTCTGTGAATGATTTAATTGTAAAACTTTCAGAGTACCACATAACTTCGAGTGTGATATTTGCAGAGAGAATTCTCACATATCCTGACTGCCCACTGCACACAGAAATGACAGGTTGTCGTTCCCATCATTCCACACGCTCCCAATTCCGTTCACTTTCATCTGGAATTAACGTTTACCGAAAGTCACCTATACCGTATCTTACTCGTCTAATCAAGAACACAGATAGGGCAATTAGTGAACTTAACCCTAGCCTTGGATTATGATTTGTCCCCATATCTGTGCAAATTCTCTCCCCGTTGAATATGTACTTTGTAGCGGTTGGCGTGTTTGACGCCTTAACTGAAATTTGAGCTTCAGTACTTGTAAAAGTTACACACGATACACAATGTTATAGGTAGGTGATGTGAGAACGACCCTCCCCGGAATATTTATCATTACAGAAGTGTGAGTATGCCAAAGATTTGGGGAGAGGGATATGACAAACGCTTTTGAACGTTTCACTTGATAACGGTTCAAGGTCACAAAAAGCTGTTGGTGTCTGTGTATCTGTTAAAATTGGTAATCCTGTACGCATCCTGGATTAAATCATCTTATAGGATGAAAGCATTACTTATCACTGTTTTCCAGCTGTTGTAAATTCAGCTCCAATTTGAGTGGTTGCATACCATTTATATTGCTCTCATGAAATCTCATCAAATGCTTATCCCTATTGATTGTAATTATGTCTACTCTAAATATTTTAAGCCGTTAGACTCTAACCATCATCGACTACTATATGCGTGAGTGGGAAAGATATCTGTTCAGAGTGTGATTTGGACAATCGGAAAATCAACAGTACATTTCAAATGTATTGGCCACAAAACTAGTCGAATAACGAGTGAGTTAGATTAGCTTTTCTCTAGACAATGTCAGTTTTTACAAACATCCACTTTTGGTTCGAGTCTCCTGCACACAAACACAGATTTGAAACGTTTGTGGTGATCTATCATACTCATACTGTTTACCCATTTTTCGATGAACCTATGGCTCACACAGTTATTGCAACGACAAATATCGGTTGCCAAAATTCATAGATAAAGTACTAGCTACTCAAGTCCTGGATTTATTTCATAATTCATAAACCTCTATGTAGGTAGTGGGTTCATTAATCAAAGCATCAAAAGTCAACAGAATAATTCATGAAAGTGTTTACTGATTTGTTCTATAATGTAGTTCGGATCAATAAAATATAGAAACTGTACCTCTTCTTGACGCTTCGCTTGTGCTTCTTCTGCTTCGGTCAGTTCTTGAGCGTTAGCCAAATTGTCCACGGCGATAGCCAAGAAAACGTTTAGTAAAGTATCTGATACGACGCGAGTTAAGGAACGAGGTTGGTGCAAAACGGTGCCGACTTTTATGACCCTATTTACGAGTCTGATTTCCCTAAGGACATATTCCCCGGAGTAGCAGTGTAACACAAACAACAACAACAACAACGATCAATTATATTACCGAAATACATATGTAACAGAATAATCAAGTTAAAGTATTACATAAATCAGCAATGCATCTTCTGACTGCCAATTACGTAAATGTTTGAAATTTTTAAACTATTCCCCAAAGGGAATTAAATTGAGTGAACTCTGAGTAGAACCTGTAAGTTTTGTTTTTCAGTCCATTTTTGTTCCCCATTACCGGTTTGTGGTTTTATCGATTCGTTTCTATTGGAACAACTATTCAATATTTGTATGTTTACTGATGATTTGCATGTGTTACTATTGGAGTTCATATGGTCTACAATCGATCGAACAGGCTAAGCAGAATATCGATGCTTTTGTGGGGTCATTGAAACCTTGATATTTGTCCCTAATATCTACAGTAGAGAAAGCAAGTGGTCCAGAAGAAGAATATCTAATTACACCAGGCAATAATTGAATGCTTCTTGTGGTAATATATCCATAGCTCATGGTTTGCTGACCGGCATTGGTGACGCGTTAGCCTTGGTACAAATTCGATGACAGGTTAGCACAAAGAAACGTGCCAGCAGCCAGACAGTTCTTTTGTTCTATCGGAAATAGTACTTTGAAAATAGGCAACGACCGGCGATGGAGAACAATCTAAACAAACGTCGCAAATAGTACAAAGCAACTGAAATCTAAGTCAATGCGTCTACATCTGTCTGTGTATGTGCATACGTCCAGAACAGCGGAGAAATAATTCAAAGATTTGGAAGTCCGTATCGCGAGGCTTTCTGCTTTTGTCCCTGCAACATTTCCTGTCGAAATGGAGCCAGACAGTTATTGATCATCATACTGAACTTGTCAAATGCTTTGTCTATTGGACTGAAGAACGGCACTATGTAAATTTCAAAGGCTGAATTAAATTCCAAAGCACAGTGTTGCTTGTATTTGCTCATCCGTGAGCACTGCATTGACGAGAACATCGATAGCTTCGTTATTCAGGTAGACTATCCACAATCTACCGGAAAGACTTGCATTGTATTGCATTGCATTGTGTATGACTTTTGCAAGCACTGGAGCTCACGCCAAGGCTGATAACAAGACTGAAAATCCATGAGCGAAGTCTAACATACCGAGTGATGGATAATTTACTTCGGAAAATGCAGTACTAGCAGCGAACTTTGCAAAGTAGTAATGGCATTGTTCAATGCCGCCGGAAAGCAAGTATCAACTTATCCACGTGCGACTTAACAAGTTATTGTAATCTATAGTGAAGGGAATGCAAGTGTTTTGGTTGTTCACTGTTGATGCTATTAGTGGCAGTTTTAGTTGTTTTTATCGTCTTCTGTGTTGTTTCTCACGCTGTGGATGATGATGATGCTCATGATCAAATGAAAACTGGATGAAGGACCTAGATGATGAATTCTATTTTAACTACAATATATTTACTCAATTTACTCTTCGATTAAAACGTACAAAATGACAAGATGACCGCGAAAGGATACAGTTACCAAAAAGCATTACCAAAACAAAATAAACACTGTAAATTGCTCCGCCACTGGCAACTCCACCCTGGGCTCGGATTCCGTTGTACATAACTGTGTTCCAATCTTCACCAGTAAGAATCTGTGGATGAAACGGCAGTATTGATAAGAACATGACCTCCCCAAGTAATATGGTGATGGTTATTCCCAACGGGAACTTTGTGAAGTTTTGCTCAATATTAGGTTTTGTGTTGCATTCACAAGAAAAGGGAATGAAAAATGATACATATATATAATGATAATGAGTACATTATCAATAAAAGTGGGATAAAGAGAGCTAAACTGTTATCCCTCCAGTAAGCTAAGGTTTTTGAGTTCTCCAAGTAACCTCAAAGCACAATAACCTCAGCATCAAATCGTGTATTTCATTTGATTGTATGGTGGAACCCAACAACTGGAAAATATCAAGTTATATCCCCCTTCCTAAACTGCCATCACCAACAACGGGGCAAAATGACTTAAAGCTACATTCAAGGCACCCATCAACAAGGGTATACCATTCATCTTTCATGATCTCTATTGTGAATCCCGGAGATCCTCGTAAGGGAACGAAATATTCACCATGCCTGAGGGTTATTGAACCACCTGAAGGAGAAACACCGAGAACACAATCATCGCATAAATCACGTGATTGATCAGCTGAACGAAAACATAGGTATACAGAACAAACTAATGATTAATTGATTGCTAGAAAAAGTGACAAGTTCAACTAACCGAACCCTGAAGAAATAAATGGCAATTCATGTGGATACCTGTTAAATAGATGTGAGAAATTCAGCATTTACCCGTATCACTAGCATTGTTGATCCTAAAGCGAACTCAGCTATTAGTAGAGGTTGGGTGCACTATACCAGGTCAGCATAATGGTGCACACACGTACACAGAGCCAGAGTCCCCGAAGGCGACCGTTGTGTATTCTCAGAAGTGGACTTACTTGAAATACCGTGAGTAAGGCTTTGACAAAAGTGTCGAAATTCTGTGTTGGGCGCCCCTCGTCAAAATTGAAGCTGAAATGGAACGTGAAAAGTTGCTTGAATGTCAACTGTGGTTAGAATCAAGGCATCTATTTTTCAAGCGCCATGATTTGATAGCAGCACTCAGCACAAACGAAGATCAATGTTTCAAAACTGTACTCAGAGGTAAGTGGGTATTCTGTTTAACAAGTGGGAAGACCTACCAAAAGATAGATATCTGCAGAACATTCTTTCCTTCTGGCAAATTTTAAGTCCATACTTTGGTCCATACTTTGCATCTTTCAGTTTGATTAAGTGTTGTTAGCCAGATACAATGAAACCGATAGCTCAAATGTATTTGTAACCACCAGTTTGTTGCAGAAGCAAACGTTTGCCTCCAGTTCTCGAAATTTATTACTAACCCCTGGGTATTCGAGTGGAGACAACGGACATGGGGAAACAAGGCATTCATGTATCTTCAGAACACACAGGCGCAATGAACTGTAATCCCACAATGAATTTTCCTTATCTTATGGCTCTGCTTTGTTTTAAAACGAGTGACAAGGTGAATCAATAAATTACTTTTGAATGCTCCAGAATGTACATTTAACTTGCATCTGTGTATGAGGTAGAAAGAACGACTATCCAATTGAACTATTGAGAGAAGCATAATTAACTCAGTGCTTTGGATAAATCACAAAATATGTTGTCAGCGTGAAATAAAAAAAAGACAAGATAAGAAATAATAAGGGAAATATATGCTGTGCTTGGAGTGAACGGATAAGATAAGGATGCACTTGGATAGAGTTGAAGACAGAGAATAGTAAATGTGAAATAGTACCTTATTGAATAAACTTATCACAAAGGTTGGTTTGACGTTAGATAAGGCGTTGATTGATGTTTGCCTTGTGTACGCCATAAAATATGGCTAAATGCTTAAGTTGCTAGGATATTGTACAGATATTTTTTTATAATATACGAGAAAAGATCTGTCAGAGATAGGAAGCGATTTAACTTCTACAACCTATCTTATCAAACGCAGGGAAGTATTTTTTCCAAAATCCTTTCACATATCATTATCGATTTGTCAGACCAAGTGAAGTAACGGTTATCATTATTTATGTCCATGTTCCAACCCCGTCCATTATTAAACACTTGCATGCCTTTCTCGGATGGCCGATATTAGAATATACAGTAATGATAACATTAGTTACATGTTACTCGGGCTCTCGGATCGTTACAAGCCTCGTTCGACATTCCATCTACCTATTCCGTCGGGTGGAACACAGGGTGTTTCATTTTACCAGAACGAAGAACTGTTTCTCTCTCTATCTATTTTATTCTTTTCATAATGACGGTGAATGCATTTGTCTCCTAACAGCAATTAAAAAACATCCCGTACAACAAACTATTTGGTGCAAAAGGAGCGCCTCCGCGGCTCTTTCGTTCTCAACACAATTTAGCATTTTCAACGTTGTTTAAGACCCTTAACACGCAATGATGTACGGGCCGTTCCTGTAGAAATTCATTTAATTTGGCGCTCTAACAACATTTAAAGAGAAACAGCGGCTGAAACAAATGGTTAATGTTCGCGTTAGTAATGTTTCTAGCCAACTATATCCTTTGGCTGTTTCAAAGTTTTACTGCTTTTCTAGTTTCTTCTCTTGCACTTTTAAAAATGCACTTGTACAGGGAAAGTTGCAGTCAGACCGTAACCAATTTCCTCTTTGTCCTACTCAACACAAGTGGATGAGTTTTAATCGAAAAATTCCAGTGATGCGAATTCAAACGAATTTCTTGAATTCGGAGCTTATTTGAATATGATCACGTGAGTTCAACCATACAAATGTGGTTCAGTCGGAGAACAATGGAGTCCCGTTCACCGGTGTGTGTTCAACCGCACGTGTTGAAACATCAAAGCTCCGCTCACCATCGAGTGGAACTGAAGAACGTTCCAAAGATGTCGTAGATTTCACATACCGTTCAATTCTCGTGATCTATCTCTGTCTCAGTGTTTTCCGGTTATTTTTTTCAAATTGTTCTCACCCTATTCACTGTTTGTGGTTCACTGTGGCAATTAACAAATGCCCACGTAATTCCATTTCCGCGTAATTTTCTTTCTGTTTGCAGTATCTGGCAGTGTTTTGAAGAACATAATTTCATTTGTGCCCTGTGACACATTGGAATGATATCAATCTCCTCCGGTGGGACCTCTCGCCAATCTCATTATCTGCTACTGGAGATATATAGCAACCTGCTGTTGTTGGTATCATTGTTCCAGCTTATTGCTATTGTTGCTGCTTCTGCTGCTGTTGCTGATGTTGTTGACAAAGGTCCTTCGGAGTGAGCAGAGAACTGTTTTATCCAGAAGGCAGTTGTGATAGGCAGAGCAAGTAACGTTTGTGTGCCCCCGGAAAAATGAAAACAAACGGATTTGCAAGCAAAATAATGAACATCCAGCAAAACAATATTTCTGATCATCCTAATATTTCAAACAACCCTAATCTTTTCGGCTCACGATATCTCACGTCAAACACGTGTCGCTCCTCCACGGAATGCAAAATCAGAGCAGTTTTGAACTGTTTTAATTACGTTTGAAAAGTATTTATAACCAAATCTGAATAACCGCACTGATTTGCACACCTCACATTCTGGAAAATCTAAACAGCTGGTCAATTACGCCATACTGAAAGCCCCAAGCTATTGTTTATGGTGGCTGCAATCATAATAGTTGTGATATACCTTCGTCCAATATAATCTGCCTTGTAGAATCTAGTCGACAGACATATTTTGTTTTTCAGACCGCGTCAGCTTCATGATTACATCAACCATGAATTTACTCTGCGGTTCATTTCCTCGTTGGCTTACATGTAAACCCGACGAAGATCTGTTCATAATGGACACCTACATATCTATTTTTCTTCTCAGTTCATTTTCACCTTGAATAAACAGTGGTAACATTTTCTGGAAGCGGAAACGGCCGACAAACGGCCGATGCCATGTAAGACACAAAAAAAACCAAGGAGTTGAATACGTCCTCCGGGGGTGATAATTTGGTGATCTCCGAGCCACCGAGCCACCACCGGCTATCTCAATAAGAAACAGGTGGCAACGGACAGTAAAGCGGGGGCTACATTTTCAATCCTATCTCGTTGTATCATTCGTTGTTCTTTAATTACGAACCCTTCGTTGTTGTTATTGCGGCGTTCCAGCAATTAAAGTAGTAACTTAAAAGTTTAACAGTATATTGTCTTAAACTTTATTGATAAAATAGCATTTTCATGTTTATGTTGTTTTGCCTCGCAAACTTATTGATACAGTATTCTTTCACGCACAACTATTAACTTGTCAAGTTAACTGATCATATTCGGTTTGGGATGATGACAAAGTCGGATCACGATGCCATTTGCAGATCATTGAAGGGCTATCTGTCACACAATAACCGGTAGTTTTACGAATTTCAGGTGTACCTAGTTTGTCCCAATTTGACGAACTATTTTGTCTAGATTCCTTTCGCAACCGTTGTTTCACTTTATTTACCATCACTAATGTTTTGATCCGTTTTGGTCTTACAGTTTGAATTTCGGTTGATCGTCTTGGCAATAATACACATACAGGTAACTCGATCAAGGTTAGCAAAATAACTCACTCGCCACCAAATAGTTGCATTCCTAGTAGGGCGAATATGAGAATGAACAGAAACAGAAGAAACAGCAGGGAGATGATACTTCGCATCGAATTCAAAAGAGAGAGGACCAGATTCCGCAAAGATGCCCAATATCTGCATGGACCCGGGGTGTGGGGTGTGAAAACGGAAAGAGAAAAAACAAGTAATAAACTAGCATGGTTTGCAGAATGAAAATAAATCACGAGTGCGTATTTTTTTTAAAAAGGTTTCGTTTTGAGCATTCAATTGTTCATCTATCTGCTTTCTGTCTGTCTATCTTTTTCTCTCTGTCTGTCTGTTTATCAATCTGTCTGTCTGCATATGCATGCATGTTTGTATGTACGTATGTATGTATGTATAAACGTATATATGTATGTATGTATGTGTGTGTATGTGTGTATTTATGTTTGTCTTCTTGTCTATCCGATACAACACTTACATTTTTCAACCTCATCAAGTGGGATATACATGACCTGACCTAATAATCTTTCTAACTGCATAAATTTTTCTCTTCGTTTGGCTCTTTTTCCTACTGGCATTTAAGTTACCAGATAAATTGCCCAGTTATTATTTCAAATAACCGATTAACAGCGAAAACTGAAATTATTTTGATTTCCTTCAGGTTTTCCTGACTGAATTCCCCATGACGCGCTTTGTTTGTTTCGGCGAAATGGCTGTGAACTTCGTTTACTCGGGCCAACTGATAGGTCTGTTCAGACAGTGGAAATAATAAGCATTAGGGCACAAACCGAAGTAATATGTTTACTCACATTAATTGGGAAATTCAATACGGTTTACAAAATAACATCCAAGTGCTGATCAAGAAGAGGAGAGCAACCGGGATTGATTCGGACAGAAAGACAGATCCAACAGACCGCTTACAGCATAAGGATTATCCATGGGAACATACTGCCCCTTAGGTGGAGCTGGGTATTTGTACATATTCTGTTTTGTTTTCTAGAGATTTGATAAAATTTGAACAGTTTATTATATAAACCACACAAACTATCACACTTATTATAATATCAGTTAACGTATGGCGACGAATCAGACTGTGTGAGAAAACACAAAACTGACTATAAAGTTCCTAAAGTTATTCTCTAGACATCGGAGGCAGCTTTTTTTGATAGACACCGATGTCCATGTTGCCTGCCTGTGAGAAACGCTTGAGAATAATTATATATCGTTTATACTTCAGTGCCTATAGGTCAAACGAGTATCATTTGATGAAGACCCGTTCGGGCTAAACACGGCCTGATGAACAGCCAACATATGGGAACTGCCTATTCATGAGAAGTCATTCCAATCCAGACAAGCAGTAGGATTAAGAAGGACAAAATATGCGAAGTTTCAATCAAACAGGTTTGTGAGTCCTGTGCTTCTCTGTCTAGTTGCAGTGTGTTGCTCACCTATGTTGTTTTTCCCCACCATCACATCCCCCATCACATATTCCGTCCGATCATTTGTTTGTTAGTTTGAACGAAATAAGCTTACGGAAGACAATAGGAAAACAAAAAGCATCCTGAACGGGACAATTTTGAACATGCTTTACAAAATGATTAGTTTTTAAACAGCGTTTCATGTATTTTAGTCGATCAGCTTGAAATAGTCATGCCGTTAGTCTTTCAACAGATAGTCCATGTTACATTTGCAAACAAGGCGTTTTGTCTTACTATTTTATTTTTCAAATCAATTGATTGGTACTCCAACAAACAAGACGAAGCAATTCGCTGAATGATCAGGCGAAACGCCAGGTTGCATTGCTAGGTCTACTATGTGCATTATTATCTTTACTGCTTGATCAAATAACAAGGCTAGCAGTGGACATGTTTGCATGAAAACGATGTTTGTTCCTAAAAATGATGAGTTGAGAAATCGTTATCGGACACAACCGAGCAATAACCAGGTGACCATATCGACAACCACTGGCTCCCTTGAATTCCAGCGGCATGATTTACCAATCGGTGCATGCAATCAATAAGCTTCCCTTAAATAAAACTCATTATTGGACTATACTGCTTCAACCATACTGACTTACATCGACTTTTTAGTGTTTGCTGGTACATTACACACAAAAATGCAAATCGATATCTCAGGCGACAAAATATGTGCTTACCGTGTAATTTTGAAGATACGTAACAGCCGCACAGCACGAAGGACCGATATACCAAATGAGGCGTCCGGATGAAAGAATCCCCAAACAACTTCGAAAATACCTACGACAATGACCTGAACAGTGCCATGAATAGAAAATGATAGAGATGTAAATACGCGAGTAATTGATTTGACTTTATTTGGCTTTGGTACTGTGTGCAGCTGAAAACAGAGTTGTTAGTTCAATAAGGTATTACCTCTTATGCAGCGTTAAAGATTGATGGGCAACTTCGAATGATGAGTGTTCGTATCCTAGCCTGATAAACACGACACTTAGCCTTTCGAGTCTTTTTGATTAGACTGAATGGCACATAAAGTAAGCATTCAAACTGTGGCATACCGTCTGTGTGAATGGTGTGTATTTTGGATAGAATTAACACCAATGGTATTGTTTCTTTCGGATAGCGTTCAATAAATAACAATGCGCAGAATCTTTCTTACCTATTTCCAGCAACAAGCCAACAAAATCTTTACATTGTTTAGCATATTTCCACAGTCGTTTCTCTCAGTTTCCCTTTTTATATTATGCAACGGGGGTTGCTGCTTAGTCTGGATTTACTAAAGAGTACTGTATTCCACGGTGAAAAAAACTGATATACACGTACACAAACATTGTACTGCTGAAGAGCAACGTCCATTAGCCATAAAGAGTTCAGTCTGCGAATGCATGATAGTAAATAAACAGTTCAGTCAAGAATCGAGAATAAATGTGATGAATTTTGTGTAAAGCTTATCGTCATGAACATTCATTTGAGTTAATGAGATAAATTATAACTCACCATCCGGTATTGTTATTTCAAGCGGGGTGCGAAAATGGTAATCTACAGGGACATCCGTGTAAATGTCTTGCTAATTTTCTCTAGCAAATACAATCAGAGCTGAGGGAAAACGTATTTAATAGGTGAAAAAGCATACCAGTAAAACTAACTGGTATCCGACACGAGTGACAGATGGACGCACTAGTTACTTTAAAATGCTCCGAATCTCCCATGAAAGTTAATGTGAATTTCACCATCACTAGCTCAGTATCACACACGGTAAGCAACAATTAAATAAGCGGGGGAGGCAAAACATGTGTACAGAATGATTTTCAGAGACAGATTACTTCGATTCAATGATCGCGACAACTTGGCAGAACAGCTGCACGAAGTCAGTCAGGAAAAAAGTGTTTCCATACCCGCAGTCACTCTGGCGGCTTCGTAATTGTATGGGGTGCAAAGTGATTGAGCAATAGGTTATTCACTCTCCACTACGTCTTGTCTAAATTTTATCTGATCCGTCTAATCAAACTCCCCCGAGGCTGGTAGAGAGGGAGCGCTGATTCATTTTTATATTTCATGTTGATATTCAAACAAAAAACAAACAACAGTACCTTAATAATTGAAACAGATTCAGTAGAGATCCAACTGAACACACCAGTACTCCAGTCAGAGAAAGCGTTTGCTTTGAGTCTTGCAAGAAACAGGGATACAGTGTTGTCCTGAGGTATTCAGAGATATTTGTCTATATATGCGCATTCAGAAAACCACTGGGCTACCGATGAGCGTCTTTGATGTATATGTTTGCAAATAAATTAGATTTCAAGTATTCTACCTCATGAACATATTTTTATTACGATTTACTACTTTTCCGATTGTCCAATTCTCGCGAGTTTCATTTTCCAATTTACGCTTTGTGGAACAATTTCACTCGGTGGAAAACAAGTTACGAGTGAAAAATTCACTGGTACACCTGCACACCAACTTTTCATGTCTACCGGTCACTCGTTTCCCAAAACGCTCCTAATCACTATTATGGTCGACAGGTTTGAGCTGAAGTGAACTGAGGGGGCGGATGGAATTGGTTGGCTTCAAAACAAAACATTTCTCGACACGACATTCGCCCACGCCACAAGCTTGCATATGTTAGAAGATCGTTTGTCTCAGCGGAGTTTGTTTGTCAATCAGATGACATTTGCGTCAAGAGTAGAACATTCAAACGAAGAGAGCGAAAAATCCCTCAAAATCGGGATCTGTGTTTGAAACAATTTATGCCTAATGAGAATGTGCACGTGATCTGTGACAAGTATGAATTCAACCTCTCCCAAGCCAAGTCACTGCTTTGTTCATGCGGTGTAAGCCTGTAGTTGTGAAATTTAAATAAATTAGGGTATAGTAGGTAGTAAAAAGACAAACGTATTTCACACAAAAATCGGGGTTATTAGATACTTATTGGAAATATTGAATGATCTTTTTCATTAGATTACTGTAGTCTCAAATCATTAATTTTACTCCACGGAATAGGAAGCATTAAAATTGATTATTTGAGCGGTTTAACTGTGGGAAAATATGTAATTCACTGGCGAATTTAAGGGAGGAGTGGTGTTCTTTAGAAAACTTTTCTAAGTGAACCCAAAAGTGATGGTCCTACAATCGACTTTCAGGGTTGAATCTGTCAGAGTAGAAAGTAACTAAAATGAAATTGATCATTGATTCCAATTAATACAGATGTGTATGAGCCAAAATTTGGTGGAGCCCATCAGTGCAACTTTCATGACTATGAATAAATGATATGCACCGTTGTATTCAATAAAACTCGTAATATGCACGCAAGTAAATCCTTTTAATTAGCACAAAACAGTAGCAACGTAGTTCATGTACAATGACAGAAGCATGTCTTTAGCCGAACCTGGCCGTACAAGTAATGAGCAGTCAGCCAATCAATACCAAACATACACGTGGTGCAGTCTGATTGGTCACTGTAATCAAGGTTCCATGTGAGGAACGTCCATGTCACGTGCGTGTATTTCTGTACGTCTGTGTGTGTATTGAATATTGATGTTGCGCGTTCACGGGGAGCGATGTGTACAAGTGTTATCGAACAAATGCTTTAGACCGCACAATATGCACAATCTCTCCCATCCACTAAAGCAAGGTTAAGGTAATTATACGCTCCAAAAACCGTCACACCATCATCCTTTCAGCCACCTTCCGACCACCGATGGGATGCGGGATCTATGGCGCAAGGATGGGAAATGCTGAACAAACAACTATCCGTTATTGAAAAGGTTCATAGTTAATGGACCGCTTTTATTTTGTTCAGCCGAATATTGAGAACAGAAAACGATAGAAGCGCTTTGTTCATCTGATTTAAGATAGCAATGTACATATAGTTCTGAGAACAAATTACTTTATATACTTTATTTGGATTATTTTGTATTGCGCTATTTGATCGTTGATGCCCAAATTGGAAAGGTTAAAAACTAATTGTATTGCACCTTAGTTTTAAGTTTGTTTCTATAGCCAGTAACCTTGGAGTTTTGCACGACGGTTTCGGCTACCATCTTTTTGGTTGTCCATTTCCATAAATGTAGGCTAGACAAAAGAAGTAGAAAGCTGAGAGAGTACCTGGGGTAAGTTATAAAGGCAGGTTTACGAACGCCAACATCTATCAAGCCCACCTACACAGCTCACTGTCTGTATACATTCATTCCACTCATCCCTTCCCCCGTCTACTAGGAAGCCAAAAGCGACTGATATGTTTAAGTTCTCCGAACACAGTTTTCATGCTTGTATGTCAGGTATCAGTTTTGGATCAGTTTTGTTCCTCTGCTCGCCTCAGTAAGCATTCAACTTAGTGGCAATCTAGTTCGGGACATGCTTACCACATGCCTCGAACAGCCTAACCAATGGAGTTCAATCACTTGCTCCAACATGTAACTACCGTTTCCCAAAGGTTTTCGTTTAACGTCTGCAGTGTTTGTCCGACTGCCCCACGAGACTCAGGCCACACGGCAGCCACAATGATATCTGAAAGGTGGTGGTCTATTTTAATTCTGTTTTCACGTGGTCAAGTTACCGCGTTATACGGGTTAACCAGTAACAGGGCTGAAACATACAATGGGTTCTCCACATACACAGTTCGGTGGAGCGATGCCATAATAACCTAAAACTGGGCAAAGCCAATACAGCCTTCTGAATGCCAGGCGATAAGTTTTCCGAGGCAAAAGTTGCTCCGAAATCAGTCTGCCAGGTAAAGTGTAGCTGCCAAAATGGCAAATTTGTCTATTCCCACCATTGATCATTCAAGTGTAGGGTGGTTTGTGGGCTGGACTACAGCTCAATACTAACATTTTACAATTTGATGTTGCAAAACCCATTGCGAACGTGGTGAGACTAACCAACCCGACCCTCCAGAAAAGCTTGCAACCTACCCGGATCTTCTCTTTGAACTGCAATGTGATCTGCATAGAGAACTCATCACTTGAGTGGGGGGGGGGTATAAGTGCCGCTATTCTTGCACGAAAACGGAGAGTGAGAGAGAGAATGCAACCCTGATGAATATCATCTCCGTGCTCAACTCGGGTAAAAAATCACTGTTCAACAGGAATTTCATTTTTGTGCCAAAACAATTGTGTTTCTGAAATTTTTTCCACATCAAATAGAACAAAATAAACTGACTTCAGACTATCAGCCTCTGGCCCGAACTAAACCGGATGGGAACTTACCGCACAATCAAAAATGTTGAATGAAGATTCAAAGTAGATACGTATCTTCAAGCCGTACATTTTGAGTAACATTTCAATAATGAATAAACCAAGAAATACGAATTCCGCATAGTCTGATGAAGTGGAGGAAGGAATGAGCGAGGGAAGTAGAGTTGAAAGTTGATATTAGCACCTCAGACAATTAAACATGCTTCCTTGATGTGTATTCACAGAAAATAGTACGTGCATCAATGTAGCAAGTATGTTTCACTGATGAGTCCTTGTTTTCGCGTTTTCTGTCTCACTTGTGAATGGGTATATATAACGTATTAGCAAACAAATGTCGAAATAATCTTATTTACTGTTTGCGGAATAAGTTCAAGCTAATCCTGTGGAAATCAAACCCAAGTGCAATGCACATTCTGCCAACTTGGTAAAAAATTCCATTAATCAATTTTCTTATGGTTTACAAACGATAGATGACTGACGAGGCCACGGATACAATTAAATACACCAGTGTAGATTAAAAAAAATCGATTCTCTCAAAGCACATCCTCCAAAATACATACTATTCTATCCCAAATGTAAGCTCACAAGGATGAATTTCGTCTTCAGGACAATCAAATCTGAACTGGACAACAATGCGTATCACCCCCTTTATTGGAGGGAGACAGAAATGTAACACAGGAAGACTGAATTAAGCAAACATTCTTGCTACTTTTCTCAATGAATGTACCATCCCTTTTGCTCCTAAGCAAGTCACTTAAAGTGGCAATACTATATTCCTGCATAAGATGGTGAAACAAACACGTGTGTATTCTTATTTAATTTAGATTTACCGGTCCCGGAATCCATAGGTGGAAGTCTCATTTGGCTCTTTCTCAGGCTCGCATACATTTTCACCAAACCCAATCCAATTTGTTTTTGTTTACATGTGAATAGGCTTCTCTTCTACAACTGGTGAACAAACTACGCACCTTGGTACGTGAACGTGCTCCACGTGCAATAATTCGTTTTTCGCCGTGGCGTGGAAGCAGGAGAATCCTATCCACTCACATCGGGGTATACCGCCTTAAAGCTGGTGGAGTGATAATGTTTCAGATCGGAGGTGACAACCATTCCCTCGCACCCCCACCCACCCCATAAAACCGATTGAATTTACTCGTGTACTCTGTGCACGGTCTCTGATGTCTGCTGACTAATTCAAGGGTTCGGAAACACACTGTTGGTGGTGATGGTGCAGTGGTTTACTCGCTGTCACGAGCGTGCTTTGGATCCCATTGGTCCAAGGTTTGAGCCCCGCCACCGCCACCCAACTTTGGTGGTAGGCATCTTGACTGTCGTCCGGTTCAACATCAACCCTTACCCAGGGGAGCCTTATGTGGTTTGCCAAAAAGACCTTGCGATGATTGATCAGTTTTAGGGGTTACGGTTTACGATACAGTCAAATCAGGGCTGTTATTCAAAAGGTCAGGTGGTCGATATCATGCAAGTAATAATTGGAGACGAGATATAGTTTCCATTGAATCAGCCTTAAAATTTGGTTACGGAGTGCTGCATAACATACCCAACGGAATCAATAAGTCATCCTTGTGATGGTTAGCTTTGATGACATTTTCAAAGTTCAGAGTATCGGGAACCTACGAACAGGCAGGATTGAGTAAAGTTCGTGTTAGGTCATAAAGTTCGCTACATAGCCTCCCGTGAACAATAATGGAGAAAGTAGTTTATTCTTCCTGACGGTGTTATTGGGGTCACACTCCAGTCTTCATTTGAGATTTCTCTCAACAATTATAAGCACTCGCTCCCCCCGGAAGATTTCTTCAACTTTGGGTGGCTTTTCTTCCACGATTGTCCGTGAAAACAATTTAGAGTGATCGCAAAATCAGGTATTGAAGTGGACTTCTTAGCATCTNATTTAGTGTAATTTTGTGCAAATCAATGTACTGTCAACTCTGGCCCAGCCATTTTGCCATTCTTTTCTATCACTACCGTGAACCGCATAATTATGGAGTGTTGCATCCGCAAGCATGGCTGTGTCGAACATGACCTGCTATAAATTATTACGGTCTTTCATAAACTGCAGTTTCCCAATATTCCTTGAATACTTTAATTACTTTCCCTCTCTTTTTCCTTGTAAATCCTTCTTTGATACTAGTCATATTTACTGTGTTTTAATGGCATGATTAAGACACTTACTTCACTTTGTACCCTGATGACGGAGAAATACTTAAGTGTACGGTGGATTTCTTCCTGTACAAAACCAATTATGCGTGAACTGAAATGCTAGGAAGCATAGGATGGCTGTATCAAACTGGTTGGGTCACATTAGCAGTGCGAATCCATTCATCTTACTGGGGATGGAACCCAGGACCGATAAAATAGAACGCAAACCTACTAAACTCTTGACCACAGAAAAACTGATCAGATCGTTTTTCATTTCGCCAATACTTGGTAAAGCAGAGTCCCTCGCTCGGTTTAGCGCTAACCTGTAGGATTACGACTCGATCGGAAACTTATCGAACCCTGTTATTCATTGGATGAACCGAATGTGGCCCTACAGCAATCGTGTTCTGGCACATATCAACCAAAGCAAAATAGCCCGGTTGAAAACGTCGTCCTTGTTTGTCCCGTTCACATTGCATTTACTCTATTTACAAAATGTTTCTTTCAGCTAATCGAGAATTTTGCCAGGACGAAAAAAATAAATTACAGACAAGAATTTTCGACTTATCCTGACAGCTTAATTATATGTTTGCGTCGATCGTGTGTACGTGTGTGTCTCTGTTGAGCAAAACAGGTAAACCGTGGAACACTTAGTTGGGCCGTATGTACACAGAGTATAGAGTAGCATACACCCACACACGCACACACTAGTTGGGATGAGAACTTACACAAGAAAGACGACAACCATGGTGGTTGTCCGTGATGTTCGATTGCTCCACAAACTGTGTTGAGAAAGACGAGGATGATGACGATCCAGTAGAATGGTTGACTCTTGACCATACGTCGAATGGAGTAGCTTCATTATAGGTGGTAGTGGTGGTGGTACGAGTTGCGGAGGAGGTGGCATCGCCATGGGGAACAACGGATTACGAGTAGGCGGGAGAGGGAGCAAAGGCAGGAGAGGAAACAATCAGCATTTAAGTAGAAGGAAAACACATATGAGACACCAGCGCTAAGCATTGGGTGTACTATTTCTCAATACTTGCATTTTAACCTTCCAGATTCGAATAAATCTTGTGACCATCCCCAATCATGTCATCATTGACATTTTTTGTGTCAACACACACACCTAAGCGCTTCTGATAATTTAGGCTCATCCTAAAGGCTACTCCTAAAGTGGACATGTAAAACATACTCAGCATCTATCTCAGGTTATCAAAGGACAAAACTGTCACCCTAAAAACATGGCAGCACTCAAATGGACTATTTCTGCGAAGGATATTCCTCCTTTTCCAGTTCCGATTGATTATCGTTCTTTTCGTAATTTTTTTTAGTCATCGCTGTACCTCCGAAACTGTTTAAGACCTCCGTCGATGGAACTGTCTCACCCGAACGATAACTGTAAGAAACGATGAGCTTTTATGACCAGAAGACGCAATTTATTTTGGTGACTGTTTGGTGATTCGTCCATACAATGGTCCAAATTCTAAGTGAGCTTTTTAGTACATGCATGAACCGTTCAACTATAGTGGGAAAGAAGGCGCCTAATCAAACATAATCAAACATGTTAGCAGTAATAAAAAATCTACCTTTCAGTACAACTGATGGACCACGATGAATCCCGTTCCGTGATTAGGAACGTAAGTCAAACCAGTAAGAACACACATGTCAATCGTCACAAACGAGCAAGTCCGCCTGCTGTGGGGTCAATTGTTCGAACTGCGTGGAGCAATGTGGTACATGAGTAACCCGTAATGGTCAACCGGAGGACAGATCCATACACGGAAAGCTGAGGTCACGTGTTCGACTGATTGTCCCAGTTTTCACCCGGGATTGTTCTCACGTGACGAGCACACAAACACAATTTCTGAACCCCTAACCAAAAGGCACGATGACCGGTCCATATGGTGACGTCAATTAAGGACTATTAGAAACCGGGCCAGTTTCAGTTCCTATTAGTGCGTTGCGCACTGTATTTATGATGTCCTCCGAATGACACTGATATATGAAAATTTTAGAAAACAACAAAAACAGCTGTTGTATTTCACTGTCCCAATCCTTCCTCATAAGTGGTCACTTACCGTATTCGCTTCTCAGTTCGCCAGCAACCTTGACACCGCTCCTTACGCTTTCGTATCAGATCGCTGTACGATTGAGCGAACACATTTCCTGAAATCAAGAATAATATCCAAAAATATAACAGTATTTATAGGGCTTGGAGTCATATCCATGAAGACTCGGCTCATGATCATAACAACGAAAATGAGTTATCTCTTCAGTTATTTGATATAAAATGTACAATTATTTGAAAAGAGCGAGCACTAGCTTTTGAACATTTTGTTTAATAAGATTGGAGGTGGAGGAGAATGGATTCTGAGCAGACGATGAAAATTACATCTGAAAGCTTGACCGTCTGAGTTGTGGATACAACGCAGTTGCTTGTTGTTTAGGTTAGGGGATGGTTAATAACGCATACAACTCAAGAGTAGAAGAAAGTTTTGACGGAGACACTTTGGATTAGCCAATTTAGTTTTTTCACGGGCACCAGGCACTGTTGATGATCACCTTGTGGTGAACTAACCACCTTCCAAGGAGTGAAACCCACACCCAAGATCAGCAACACTTTCCGGCGTCTGTGATAAAAACGAATTGCCTAATCTAAACATTCCCCCTTGTCTAATGGGATTCAGCCATTCACTCAAGTTGATGACAGTAGGCCGTGTAGCTCAGGAATAAGGGTTTGAATTCCCGACCGGAAGGTTCGTGGATCGGGTCNGGAAATAAAATATACGCATTGCTGACGAGTCTCACACGGAATGAAATAATTTTCCAGTGCTTTATGTCGGTCATGACAAATATTTCCACTATAATTAAACAGAAGAAGAAATTATTTAAGTATTTTCCTATGTCTGTGAGATATTGGCTTCTTGTGGCAAATCAGCTGATTCAAACCCCCGATTCACATCAA